TTATGTTGAAGAATAGTTTTTTAGTAATTTTTTGTGCTCTTAGAAAATCAATTTGCAATCTAAGTACACTACTACACTCCTTCATCATTTGGTCACAATTTATGTTTTCTTTTGTTTTTCTGGATTAAGTGAAGTTAACTTTTTGTGCAATTGTATAACGTAAGCTCATTTCTTTTGTTCAATAATAGGGCTTAATTAAATAATTCAAACTCCCTCCAATGGAGAAATTGTGTAGTTTTTACAACAGTACTCAACTGGATCAACTACTTTTTTCAATCCAAAAAAATTTATAAATCAAATACTGTTTCTAGAACTTTTTTGTTTAAATGTCAAAAAGTTTGAGTGAGCTTGCTTAGTGCAACAATTAATCACACTTTTTTTCTAACATCGAAAATGTTTTGTATGCGGAGATCGAAGTTTTAAAGAAAAAAGTTATGCCAATAAAAAGCAAAGGCTCGAACGCTTTACTGGAAGTAATTTTTGTTGAAATGGGTCTAAAGTTTCTCGCTTGTGAGAAATCACAATCTTTGTTGATTTGAGTTATTTTAGTCAAATCGAAAACTCGAGAAACATGCATTACGCAACGGTTGAGGATAATTGTTAGTGCTGGAACAACAGCAGTTTTCAGTTTCTTAGAGCAAACATTCGTAATTTATTTGGGAAAACGTTTGATTTTGTATGATACTTTGATTTACTTCAATTTTTTGGTGAACAAAAAGAAAAAGTTTTGGTTTCGAGCTATCTTCTGTTTTTGCTTGGATTGCTTACTGAATTGGTACCCAACTGTTTCAGAGCAAGGAATAATCTTGTTGCATGCATCCCCGGAAACTTAAGGCATATTGGATTTTTTTTAAATTTATTTCAGATAAAACAATGAAAGTGTTTTTTAATTGGCACCCGTTTTTTAATTGGCAATTGAGTTTATTTTAATTATAAACTCTCTTAAAATTCCTTTTAACTTGATTTGTTCAATTTCTTTGTTTCCAAAATTCTTCTCTGGACTCTTGGTTTATCAGACCCAAATTTTTAGTAACAGTCTGTCTCTCTTGCTTCAGTGATTTGCCCAGTTTTTTTCGCTGTTTTCTCAGGTTTTCGGATTGAATTGTGAATTCTTTGAGTTTATCGCAACTCGAGTTGCAGATATTATAATCCAAGTTTTTGCTTGATCTTTCTATTTCAAGTTTTTTACATAAGCTAGACTCTCAAATAAAAAATTATTTGCTTAAAGTTTTCTTCACCCAAGTTGTGTTCGAGGTTGTTTCACAATATCTACTTTGAAGTCAGCTTCACATTGAACAGTGAAATGATCATTTGTTTCTGTTTTTAGTAATACAACTGCACAGTTTTCATTATAAATGCTTGGAAAACATCAAACAATGAATTATAAGTATTTTGTTTTGGCGAAGCAGCAAATGATAGAATAAACAGACCAAACAGCTCTTAAGTGATTTTCCTACGGTAGTTAGCTCTCAATTCGTTTGTTTTCATATCCCCGCATTTAAGAAGGAATATCTCCGCATTTTCAATCATTTTAGAAATCTTAGTGTCCTTGATATTACTTTCGAAAACTCTTATGCACAAACAGCTTATACTTGTATTCGAATTAACCGAAGAATTCGAATTTTGGTTGTAATATTTTTTACACTCGAGTTTTTGTGACACTCGGAAAATTTATGTTACTTCTTATACAAACGCCAATGCCACCTCCTCTTTTTTCCAACAGCAATGTTCCATTAAAATACAACCTTTGTTGAGAACTCCGGAAACTGAATAATTCTTCAACAATGTTTCAAGCAGTATGTGAACAACTTGAATGACTTTCGGAAAAAAGTTATGTCGCTCTTTGAAAATTCTGCTTAGTGATCTGATAATCTGAAGCTAAAAAGCTTCCAGCATCACGGCCGAAACAAGGTCTAACAAAAAAGTGTTCGAATAAAAGAGAAACAAACAAGAATTAAAAGCCCCAAAACTGTATTTAAAATTAAAAACATTACATGTATCCTCAATTTTCACCAAACAACCTTTTTATTTTTTGATTCGCATTGAAAAAACCAAAAAAAATCAAATACTGAAGAAAAAACTAAGTTTGCCGAAATGAGCGAACTGAACTGCAAATATAGTGAGTCCAATCATTTCAATAGAGAAATAACAGCAAAAAAATAAAGCAGAAAATTTTCGGAGTTGAGATTGCGTAATTGCAAGCCAGTCGCGTAAATTCGAATTCCTCCTGAAGTTTGCTTTCCTAAAAAAATGTTGAGTGTTCATGTTAGTCAAATAACAAAGTATAAACCAAGAAAGGTTTGACAATATTCCTATAAAAATCTTGTTTTTCTCGATTTTTGCACAAACTAAAAGTCTTATTTTTAAATTGTGGAAAAAAATGGCTGCATTACCCATAAAACACTTCTGTTATTGATTTCTGGCAAATCTGTTTTCGGCTGTTTTGGGCTGGTAAAACTTCTAATATTTAAAGTTTTTGTTGTTAAGAACAGTTTTGTATTGTTTGATGTGAATTGAATTTTTATGTTTGTGGTCTTCAAAACCATTGAAAAATTTTTGTGCTTTTAAAATTACTGATTCGATTCTGAGTCTATTTTTTTTTTAATTTAGATAACTTAAAATCTTCAAAAATACGCTGTTCTCTGATTAACAAATCTGTAGCACGCTTTTCGCCATCAATTTTTGGTTTGTTTTAGTTTCTGTCCTACCTTTTGCTGAGTCTGTCTAAAGGTGTTGAAATTGTATATAGCTCACACATATATTTTGTTTCGTTGAAGTTCATAACTTTTCGCCATCTTATCAAGAGTAAACAAAACCCGCTGATTTCAGAATCTAGGGGCATTGTTTTCCAGATTCCGCCTTTCTATTTCTCTTCTCACATCCAATGGCTTTTTTGGTTCTTTTGCTTCATCATTTGCAATCTTTCATGCATACATTCATCAACACATCAACGCTCCCCTTTTACTTATCGTGACGCCTTCGTCGTAATTATTTCCTCGAATACTCCATAAGTCTTTGATCTTTCCACTTTTCTTGTCTTGACTAGCATAAATTGTGCAGCATCGTTTTACTTCTTAGCTTAAAATATCCTTACAATCAGATTTGCTATACTCGTTAGAGTTTATTGTCAACAAGGGGTCATTCTTAATATCTTTTAAGAAGTTTTGTCTATTAGACACTATATTTTTCAATGTCAAAATCTTTTGAATTATAATCAGTCATAAATTTACGTCATTGGGCTAGTTTTAAAATTAACTAAAATCAAATCATGGATTGAGTTCAAATAACTCTGTAACCTCCACAATGTATGATTCTCCAAATGGTATGTCGTCCTCGTACTAGAACTTTTCGTTGAATGATTCCTTATCATTCTACAATTTTGCTTCGCTCACTAATTCTGCTTCGCTCTTCTTCACTCACTAACTCTCCGTCGGTGGCATAGTTACCAAGTTTGATTCCTCTTGATTCATCTGTATCTTCCTTTCTGGGTAAACCGCCTCCCCTGTCATCGATCTCGTGGTGAGTCTTTAAAGAGTACTGCATCTTAACTGAAACCAGTCTGCTCGTTCATTTTTGTCGCCAATTCTTCTGGTCTTTCCGGTTCAATTCAGAAAACTCCGCTTCTTTTTAACTCTTCAGTCACGATTTAATTGCTCGAGTCGAGATTTTTCACCTAATTTGAAGCAAGATTTGAGAGGTTTGAGCGGTTTTTTTAGACAATTACGCTCAAAATCTTGCTTCAAAATGGTTTTAACTATTTCTGAAAAACTTGCCTTTCATGAAAAAATGGTTATCATACAATTTTCATATATGGAAATTGTTTGATAACCATTTTTTTTCAAAAAAAATAAGCGTAGTTATTTTTGATCACAAGACTGTTGTATTTGGTTCAAATAGCCGGAGAAACTAAATTGCGCAAATTTTCAAAATAAATTACAATTTGAATTGCCCAAAAATGCTGGTTAAATTGCAACAACTTTTTGCGCTTAATGTGACATGAGTCAACCAAAATTGTGCGCAGCTGCACCTTAAATCGCAAATTTTGAATGCGCGATAATTCAAAACTTCGCAAAAAATTGCATTAAATTATTTCAAAATAAGTGTTTGCAATGAAATTTTGTAAATCTTTTTGCTCAAAAAAGTTTAATACAGGTCCATTTTGCAAAAAAAAAATCCAGTGTCCACGCATTTCTTATGTGCGGTCAGCTAGACTAGCATATTTTTGTATATATCCAAGACCGCCACGGGAAGGCCGACTCATGACCTCAATGACCAGTATCAAAATTTTGGTTGCTTTTGTCGTTTTTCTTTGGGATCGCGCAAATGCCACCAAAAATTTGTCGTGCGAAAGCTAACGACATACTTCTTTTGGGTTGCGTAAAATTGCCAAAAGTCTTTAAGGTCACGGAAAGGGCTAACATATGAATTATTGGTCTAGCAGAGACGCGCATAACTTTTTTGATCGCTCAAAGTCACGCAAAGAGTTTTTTGTCGCGCAAAAATGCATAGTTTTTTTTGAGTTGCGCAAAGACGCGCAGTTTTTTTGGTCAAGCAAAGTAGCCGAAAAAACTTCAGAAAATTTGGTCAAGCAAAGTCGGCACTTGCCCATTTTGAGTCGTGATTGTTTCATCATATAGCTTGTTGAGTCACGAAAAGTGGCGACATATCTTTTCTGAGTCGCGTAAAGCCGCGACATACCCATTTTTGTCGCGATAGTTGTAATATACACATGTTGGGTCGCAAAATAAATCGCGTATTTTTTTTAAAATTATTTGAGAGCCAATTCGTTAACTGTTCACAATTAGAAAAGTAATTTAGCTTTAAAAATAGCATACTTCATTTTTCTGATTAATAATTTTACCTAAGATAAGCTCATTTTGAGTGAAGGTCTCATTAATATTCAACACTGAATCACAACTTTTTTATATTAGTTGTGATGCAACATAATTATTTTCTGTTATTTTCTGATTTACTAATTAGTCAAAGTTGGGCACTCAAAGTTGGATTACCTACCGTGTTTTGATTATCAAAGAAAACTCAGACAGGTAATAACATATAGTTATGAGCAAGCAGCTATTAATTAGTTAGTGGAGATATTAATTAGTTGTTATTTCTTTTCAGTCTGCGCTGAATCTTGCTTCTCGTCTCGACGAAGTCGCCGTAGTCATCATTGGCTTAGTTTTTATCACGTCATGATCTGCCACGTGATCTGCGTTGACGAATTTTCCTGAAAACACTGTCGTGTTCAGATCTCCTTCAATATTCGTCATGTGGAAACTTTTGTCTTTCCTGTACTTGGCGTAGGAGCCTCGCGAAGCCTCGATCGCTTGATTTTGTTCCCGTTTCGCCGACTTCAGTGAATCGTAGTTTGAAGTTCGATCCACATACGCTTGGAAATCTTCGACCAGTTTTTCCTGTTGTCGCATTGTGGCTCGCATGTGGCCATAGAACATTTGCTCGTCAGTGTGTTCTTGGCTTAGAATTGAGTCATAGATGTCATTCTGCTGGGCTTGCACTGACGAGGCTTTTTCCTGACTGATTCTGTTTATCGATTCCAGCACTTCTCTATCTGGTGTTGTCGGTCGAATAGGTCCATTGCTCAGCTCTTCTGTTATTTCTGAAAACAATCTATACTTGAAGAAAAAATGTATACTATTTTTTTTATTATGACAAGATGTTTTTGACAAGACTGTTTCGGAAAAAGAAATATCTGGAAGAGACAAATTATCTACTTAATGCCTAAATAGGAAATTGATTTCAAATCTTCGGCTCCGTTTTCAATCTGAAATTACCGTCGTGCTGGCCATAAATTTAGCAAAGTGAAGATTATCTAGCAAAATATACAAATATGGTGCTAAAGCGGATATTAACGTACTGTTAAAAGCTCCGAGAAAATTTTCCAATTTCCGTCACCACCAGAAAAGCAATAAAGAAAATCTTTTGCAATTTATTCCTCGGTAGTCAAATTACCTTTATAGCCCCAAAATGAAAAAATCATCTTGATACTTGATCTAAGGAGAAACACAATTTCCTATTTCGGTATCCATTACAAAGAACGTCTTGAAGTTGGCTAGCAAAAAAATTAAGCCGTACTTAAATACACTAATTGGTTTGCTCCAGTTGCTATCTAAACATATTGACTCGATCGGCTCCAAAAATCAGCCGAATAAAAGATATAGGCGACAAAAAATGAATAACATTCCCAACATGATCATTTCGTTTCTGCTGTCTTTCGGATTCATGGCGACTGTTACTTCAGCTCGCTACGTTATGCTTTACGTTCCTGACGAAGGTTTCGCTGCATCTCAGCCATATTACGCCGACAGCTACCTTAGCCTAATTCAAGGAGACCAGTCTCCAAATGTAATCTATCAATACTCCGATCAGGTTCCGAGCTACGTTGAGCCGCAACAAACGCCTATAAAACCATCTCTCTACCAACTGCAGTCATCCGATTTTCGAGGTCAATCATTGCCCGTTAAGAGGTCAATTTCACCCAACGGGGGATGGATGGGAAATTTGAACCTGCATCCCGTGGAACGAAGGTCAGATAACGAAGTGGCTCAAAGGTCATACGAGACATCATTCTATGGCATGAAATATCCATACAATGGCTGGAAGCCATACTGAGAAAAGCTCTACCTTAGCTGAAACCTATCTACAGAAGAACCTCTAACCAAATTAATTGATCTACTGTTTAAAATCAAAATATCGATTGTTGCTTACTAATTTTGATCAATTAAAATATCTAACTCATTTCTTATCCTTTGAACCGCCAAGTGGATTTATCATAAGATTTTCATATGAAGACAGAAAAAAATCATGTCCGTTTGATGTCTTGATGTTTCCGACCGTACTTAAAGGTGTCAGAACAGCTTTTAATTAATAAATCGAAAAAAAATTTCAACAAAATGCAAAAGGATGAAAACAAAAACATTTTCAAACCTATACCCACAGCAAATGAGAAAAGCACAATATGAGTTTCTAAACATAATTTTTTAACTGCGACTTTTTGACGAATTTGCCCATACCATCTAAATGATTTTAATGCCTTTTGCTCAAAACTAAAAAAAAAATCATCGATGATTGTTTTTTGCAAAAATGGGATTTACAATTGGAAAACTTTTGTCAGTTTTTGAATAATTAGGGCGCTTTGTACAAACAAAAGTAAGAAAAAACTGGATAAATATTTCAATTTTGTTTCTTACTATCAACTCGTATCAACTCGGGTCTTCGAAAACATTACTTCCGATTTTCAAAGAATTTCAATATTTGTGCTTGGAGTGGCTTTTTCTTCAAATAGTTTTTGACTTTTTAATTAGCAGTTTTTGACAACTTTTTTTTAAAATGTCATCCAAAATGTATTGTTTTCCTAAGCTCAAGTTTATGAAAGTATTTTATATGTGGTAAATTTTTTATTACGTTATGGGGGTTTACCAATATAACAAAATTATGGGGGACGTACCAATAGCCAAATTGGTATAACGAAGGCGCGATGTTTTTTGTGCTATTAACGCGTAAAAGGATATTTAAACCGCCAAATTTAAACAGAGAAAAAGTTTCAAATTGAACCAAGACATGCTACTTGGTTTGTTTAAAACTTTTCTAAAGCAAAAATTTCTTTTTTTATTTAATATAGAGAGTGAGGGATTGTTTTGGGAAAACAAAAAAGCTTAATAAGGTAAAAATGTTTACAGTTTTTTTCGAAAATTTTATCAATTTTTTTATATGAACAATTTCTCTTTTGAGAAATTGTTCATATAAAAAATTTACCTTAACACTATTTCCAAAAATTACTTTAACACTATTCCAAAAAGCTTAAAAAACAAAGGCAGTCGGAATATTCAACGCTTTGCACTAAAAAGAGCAGTCTTGTTGATATGAGGAACGCTGTACTTGTATACTCAGGTGATTACTTTAAGCCAATCAAAATTGAGTATTCAACATCTCAAAGTAAATCGCAAAAATATCTAAGTAAACAAATAAATCCAGGCCATTAGTGTTGATATTGACCGATTAGATAATCAGCAGATGAGTTTTCAAATATTGCCGGATCGAAGGCGGATTGGAACAAATTTAAATTTTCAAAGATACCGATTTGCGAAAAATGAAAAAACAAAGAAAATAAAATTTATTAGATCTGCACGAATTGTACAGTATAAAACATTTTCTGTTAATGTTGACTTCGATTTTGTGGGAAAGGCATTTAACCAATAGAAACGCTTAGCGATTTTGATTGGCTGAAATTTTTTCAAGCATTCGGTCCCTCAAGCATGAGGCCCCTCAGTATACTCAGACATGCGATAAGAGCATTAATTGCGTGAATGGTTTAGTGCAAGAAAAAATATATAATTTTTCCAGAGTGGCAAAAAATATTTTCAAAGCAACGCCTTACAAAGACTT